TCTACCTGTCATTGCACTGTTGCTCCCGATCCGACTACATTGCAAGTTTTCTATTATGACCTTTCACTTATTACCATTCTAGTTTATTTACCTGAAGGGCCTAACGATCGGAACTTATTTTAGTTAAGACGGGACAGAGTAAAGAGAAGGGACAGACATGTGGCGACGTTTTGGCCACATTACATCCCCCCCCCCAAAGAAAAAGGTTTTGTATTGGAAATTGTTCATATATAAAAACTTTTCATTATTGTTTATTTAGATTAATTTCCTAGTTATATTTTTTTTAATTTTCTACTCGTATTCTTATTTAATCTATTCTAGTTCCTCTATTGACCAGTTCTTCCCATGTTTTTGGGATATATCCTATTTCTTTCATGAACTGGGGCTTCTATTTCTGGACCAATTCATTGATTTCTGCAACTAATTAAATAAGTCTAAAGTTTAAAACTTAAAATTGCCAGAATACAAATTGTTATAATTATCGCTTCCCATATAGAAAATGAATGTTCTTCAAGTTCGATATTTAGTAATTGGACTTTATTTGCATTCAAATTTTTCAAGTTAACGATTTCGTGAAATAGTTTCTGTTCATTTGTTTTAGTGATAACACTATTTTTAATTGTTTCTGGTACTTTATCAATACTCAACTTCGATCTGATTCGTAATGATCTCGTCTGAAATAATTGTTGGGTTGCCTAATCGCGTTTGTTGATTTTAGTATCGTTGGTTTGATTGTTGTGTTTGGTGAAATCTTTCATTTTTATTATTTAATTGATTGGACTGGTGTTATAATTATTTTTATGGTTGGATTCAAGACTTGCTGCGTATTCTGCGGCTTTATTTAGATCTGTTAAATTGTTAGCTTTTACGATATTACGAACATCGTTTATACGTAGGCCATTTATGAAATATTCTAGAGTACCTTTTTTATAAATGTACCCCACCATGGTTCAAGTAATTTGCATTTTAATGCAGAATTTTTCAGTAATGCCTCTGAGATCAGGCTAATTCTTTCTTGAAGAAGAATTGCTCTGTCTCCATATGCTCTTGGATCTTCGAAATCATTTTGTTTTAAATCTACGGCATCCCATATCAGCACGCTGAGGGGAGTGTCTTCATCGTATTTTCGGGATAATACTAAGGAAATTTCATTATATGTAGTACAATTTCTACATAATGTGAAGGCTTCACTATTCAATTTTTGCTTTATGACTAACAAGTCCAGCATTATTTTCACCTTCATTCAAATCTCTGTGTAGTTCATCGCATATTGCAATGAATTGGGGAAAGTTTGATTTTCCGATGAACTTAGGGATGGTTTCCCTCGCCTCTTTGGCATCATAATTAGCCATACTTGATAAGTTTGAATAGGGAGATGACCCTACTGATGATTATGGTGATTCAAATGTATCGTCTTTGTCGTCAAAACTTCTATAAATAGTTCTTCATCTCAGAGACCGAAGTTTTGACATAAAAGAAAATCTTCGAACTTTATAATTTGAATTAAGTTAATACCCAATGCACACGCCGCCAAACTTTCTATATTGTTCAAGAGTTTATGTAAAAATAGCTGTACACTGCATCAATTATTCACTTAATTGAAGAAAAAAATAAGTATGAAATTAGGCAATAATATACATTTCATTTGGGCTAGTTTTCCTAATGTCTTTAAATCAATTTCAATTAATCAATCAATCATTTTTTACGTCCTGGGACGGGTCATCATCTAGCTGGCTTCTGTTTGCACTTTTGCTTATTAATATTGGTCCACTGGATTGCATTCTAGTTCATCTTAGTATGTACATCTGCTGCGGTATGCGTATTAATGACCCTACCTTTGAGCCACTTATATCGTGGTGAATTGTTGTCCGTAATAAGAACAATGTCGTCTTTGTTTAAATGGATTAACTTTAGCAGCCCACTTGTTTCTTTTTATTAAGGTGGGTAAGTATTCCTTTCTCCACCTATCCCAAAAATGTCGTGCATAGTGTTGCACTAACTTCCACTTATCTCTAGATAGCTCTCCGACTAATGGATCGTATGCAGATACATATTCTCCTGCCCGCCCGATTAAGACGTGGAATGGGGAAACTCTCCATTGGCATATGAGTTAGAGGACGACGGTTTGGTATTAATGTTAATGCAGTCTGTTAGTGGGAACATAACGCCATTGTTCCATTTTTGTACTTTCAAGTATTTCACCAATTCGATGAGCTATGAATGGCTTATACGTTCGAAGATCGGACGAAAATGTACATGCGGTTGGTTGAATTCTCAATTCTTGTTTGACAGTGTATAATAGGCGGAGCCCAAGATTGCAGCTTGCAATTTAAGTCTTGGTATTGAAAGCTTACGAACTGGTGCCACTCTTGACTTTGCGGTCATCAGTTTAACGCGCATAGTTTCTCCGGATCCTCCTACGTCTCTCACGTAGATCACTGCTGCATACGCATATTCTGATGCCTCGACGAAGGTGTGTAGCTCAAACGTTTTGTAGGATCTACTTAAAACCCACCTTGGTATTTATATATTTGTGGCTGTTTGTATGATTTTAAGCCAATGGTTTGAAATTACGCTATCCCAATCTGACGTCTCCTTATGGACTTCTTACATGAGCATTTTTCCATGGATTGTTAAATTTGATATCAATCCCAGTGGATCGTAGATGCTCAGTATGAAGGATAGTAACTCTCTCATAGTCGGGTTTTTACCTTCGTTCCTTATTTCCGGATCTAGACGATTAAGCTTTAACTGGAAGCCTAAATAGTCCAGAGTCGTGTTCCGAAAAACACCAAGGATTTTTTCATCCATTGCATCCTTGTCTTCTAAAATGCGTACAGTGCCTTGCTGTACTCGATCCTTAGGTAATGTCGCTAATACAGCTTTATTGTTTGAAACAAAGTTTCTTACATAGAATCTAGCATTATCGTGAATTTCGATGACGTCCTTTGAAACTGTCGATGCAATCGTCGACGTAGTGTTGTTTTACTACTGCTTCCGCTGCCTTGGGATTTATATCCTTATACAGTGCAGCGTTATAGTTTTTAACGGCTTGTGCACGGGCTGGGGAGCAAGTAGATTCAAATAACATTACTTGCATAACGTAGACATCTGACTTTTGATTTTCATCATCTCGAAACATGAAACACCGTATGTGCATCAAACAAACTGTTCAAGACGCTAAGACTAAATCAAGAGAGTGTTACAATAGCGTGGTTGCGAATTTTGATAGACCGAAAAGGAGTGCCTTTAGCATCAGGTTTTTGGACTTTGATTTTAGACCCGGGACTGAACTTCTCACTAAATTAGAAATTCTGGTCTCAACAGTTATCTAAGTTTAAACCTGATGAAGGTACTGGATGGAAGAAATTCGGATCTTAACAGATCGACAGACGATTTAAGACTAACGAAAACATTCGATTTATTAAGTTGAAAATTTGCCTTACATAGGGGTTTGAGTCTAGAAAGATTTGACTCCTGCTAAGATCTTCCTAACGCAATGTTGATAAGAACGAAAGAGACAGAAAGTATTCCTAATCTAAACTTATTCATCGTTCTCCTTCAAGATCGTGTGATGCATTTTGGGACCAACTTTACTATCGTGTTCATTGAACCTGGTTAAGCGAAGGGATGATAAAACAGAACAGCTGTTTATATTTGACTTTGAACTTTTATTTCTTTGCATCGTCTTGGGTGATTCGAGAACGTTCTTCAATTATTGCTAATTAATCGCATTCACAACAGGTTACATGTACATATTTGTTGCTATGGTAATAGTTCAATGTAAAATGTTCAATGTATTCTGTTTCTAACGCTATTAACTTCAATGACTGAACTTGAGATTCATTAATTCATTCGTATTGAGACTCAAGAGAGATGGTTTTGCCTATTGCGTTTACCTTCAATTTTTAGACCGTGGTATTACTAAAGAGGGTTAAAGTCGCTTTAATGCATCGGAGTCCATCTCAATCCGGGCCGGCATCCATCGGAAGATTATCACGGTAATTATCGGAAGGTAATAGTTCACGAGTAGCGTGAAAATCCATGCTTTAAGCACTGTTTAATCATCAACTGTACTTTCTATTACAATCGCATCTTAAACGAACGAAAAATCCACGTTGGTAAATCGATCAAGGAGAAGGAAAAAAGTTCCTTTGTCAATCAATAGTTTGATCATGCCTCTGGTTTCCGGCGAATGAACATAAGGCATGCTACTCAAATCATCCTTGCTGCATATCGCTTTCTTTTGTGATAGCTGCTGAGTGTTGATTCGCCGGGAACCGATTTAACAGGTGTTTTTCACCTCCACAGTTAGTTTTCAAAACGAAAGCTGACTTAAACCAATCTACGATATTTCTATCAAATAAGTCACAGCGACTAGTTCTCTGTATTCCCACAGCAGCAAGTAACCTTCGTAAAACGTAAGTTTTGCAACTTAGGGTTGAGTTAGCGTTTAAAAAAAAAGGAATTCAGATTAAAAGACTCGCGGTGATAGTTTCGTTCGAATACCTTCTTGATTCCGTAGTGAAGGTGGGAAGAGCACATTCTCATAATGATAGCTATCCGTGAGTTCGTTCGCGATAGCTATCCGTTACCCAGGCTTGCATTTATCGGAAGATTATCACATAGGCAATAATTTGCGAGGAGCGTGAGAATCCATGATGTATGCACTGTTTAATCATCAACTGTACTTTCTATTACAATCGCATCTTAAACGAACGAAAAATCCACTTTGGCAAATCGATCAAGGAGAAAGGATTTTTTTTTTCAATCAACAGTTTGATCATGCCTCTGGTTTCCGGCGAATGAACATAAGGCATGCTACTCAAATCATCCTTGCTGCATGTCGCGTTCTTTTGTGATAGCTGCTGAGTGTTGATTCGCCGGGAACCGATTTAACAGGTGTTTTCCACCTCCACAGTTAGTTTTCAAAACGAAAGCTGACTTAAACCAATCTACGATATTTCTATTAAATAAGTCACAGCGACTAGTTCTCTGTATTCCCACAGCAGCAAGTAACCTTCGTAAAACGTAAGTTTTGCAACTTAGGGTTGAGTTAGCGTTTAAAAAAAAAGGAATTCAGATTAAAAGACTCGCGGTGATAGTTTCGTTCGAATACCTTCTTGATTCCGTAGTGAAGGTGGGAAGAGCACATTCTCATAATGATAGCTATCCGTGAGTTCGTTCGCGATAGCTATCCGTTACCCAGGCTTGCATTTATCGGAAGATTATCACATAGGCAATAATTTGCGAGGAGCGTGAGAATCCATGATGTATGCACTGTTTAATCATCAACTGTACTTTCTATTACAATCGCATCTTAAACGAACGAAAAATCCACTTTGGCAAATCGATCAAGGAGAAAGGATTTTTTTTTTCAATCAACAGTTTGATCATGCCTCTGGTTTCCGGCGAATGAACATAAGGCATGCTACTCAAATCATCCTTGCTGCATGTCGCGTTCTTTTGTGATAGCTGCTGAGTGTTGATTCGCCGGGAACCGATTTAACAGGTGTTTTCCACCTCCACAGTTAGTTTTCAAAACGAAAGCTGACTTAAACCAATCTAAGATATTTCTATTAAATAAGTCATAGCGACTAGTTCTCCTTCGTTAAACGTAAGTTTCGCAACTTAGGGTTAAGTTAGTGTTTTTTTTTTTAAAGCATTAAAAGTCGCGGTGAAAGTCTCGTTCGACTACCTTCTTGATCCTTAGTGAAGGTGGGAAGAGCACATTCTCATAATGATAGCTATCCGTGAGTTCGCTCGTGATAGGGATCGCACTGATCACAAATTACGCCTGTGAACCAGTCAGACTTCATGGAAAATCTACAATTTCGAAGCGGACTAGTTATTAACATTTTCAAATTTACTAATTTATTGAAACTGTTTATTATATCTTTTAATTGATCAAAATCAATAGGCTGTAGGATTCTTACTTATCCTAATCTAACTTGTGCTTGGCCTAATGAAATTATAGCAAGCGGATTGTTATTTAAATCGTGAATTTGTATCATGGCATTTGCGACTTGTAGTGTAGTCATAATAAATATCTTACAAAACAAGAAGCTTTAAAGATTTTGAAACAAAACCATTAAATTACCGAAGTATAAGTTTAGTACATTTCTGTTTTTGTACCAAAAGATGGCAGCTTTCATTCCAAAAAACATTTCCCAAGACACAAACTCACTAAAATGGCTCATTTTTAAGTTATTAATTTTGGTCCACTGGATTGCATTTCTGGACCACTGTGCATTCGCTGCATGGTCCAAGATTTTGTCTAATATTAAAGTCTCTTCATAGGTAATAATTCGCGAGGCGCGTGAGAATCCATGCTTTATATGCACTGTTTAATCATCAACTGTACTTTCTATTACAATCGCATCTTAAACGAACGAAAAATCCACGTTGGTAAATCGATCAAGGAGAAGGAAAAATGCACTGTTGTTAATCAATAGTTTGATCATGCCTCTGGTTTCCGGTGAATGAACATAAGGCATGCTACTCAAATCATCCTTGCTGCATGTCACAGTCTTTTGTGATAGCTGCTGAGTGTTGATTCGCCGGGAACCGATTTAACAGGTGTTTTGCACCTCCACAGTTAGTTTTGAAAACGAAAGCTGACTTAAACCAATCCAAACATTTCTATTAAACAAGGCATAGCGATCAGTTCTTCGTATTCCCAGAGCAGAAAATAGTCTTCGTTAAACATAAGTTGGCTTGCCCTAATGAAATTATAGCAAGTGGATTGTTATTTAAATCGTAGATTTGTATAATTGGCATTTGCGATTTGTAGTAATAATAAATATCTTACAACACTTGAAACTGTGCCAAACCTTGAACGAAAACCATTAAATTGCCGAAGTACAATGGCTGAAAGAATATTCTTCGGCCGAAAAACGAGAGTTCAAAAGATCTTCAAACTCTGATGAGGACAAGTCGGTGAAATAATTGTATTTAGATGTTAGAACGGATAGACATCGGTTCTTCAATCTACGAAAATAGGACAAACAATTGCGTTTACACTTTTTTCGGCAGCCGCGATGGTTTGCACGTATTGAATCTTAAGATACTCAGAGTCACTCAGAGCAGGCTTAACGGCATTTTTTTATCATAAAATCGAAGACATGAAACAACCGTTCGGACAACGGGGTATCGGAAGCCGAACTACCCTCTCGTCGTCCTGGGTTGAAGCCCATCAATCAAAATCCTCATCTGATATTTCTATAGGAAAATCCTTAAACTCATTGAACCTATCAATGTCTTCAATTACGGATGACACAAAATTTTCATAAACATGCGCGGCAAGGACTTCGGCAAGGATACCAGAGTGAATACGGAGTACGTTACCATTACGTTTCTGAAAACCCAGCATAGTTTCACTAAAATGGCTCATTTTGGAGTTATTAATTTTGGTTCACTGGATTGCATTCCTGCATGGTCCAAGATTTTGTTTTATATTAAAGTCTCTTCAATGCATAGGAGTCCCTCTAAATCCTAGCATACATCCATCGGAAGATTATCACATAGGTAATAATTCACGAGTAGCGTGAGAATCTATGCTTTATGCACAGTTTAATCATCAACTGTACTTTCTATTACAACCGCATCTTAAACGAACGGAAAATCCACGTTTGCAAATCGATCAAGGAGAAGTCATACGACAATCATCAATCAAGAATTCAACCAAGCCTCTGGTTTCCGGCGAATGAACATAAGGCATGCTACTCAAATCATCCTTGCTGCATATCGCGTTCTTTTGTGATAGCTGCTGAGTGTTGATTCGCCGGGAACCACCATCATAATCTTTGATCAATTTCCATGTGAATTCTGATGGGTAAGATTTTCTAACAATTACAAAAAAAATAACTCCACGCCACAAGGATTACTAGAGATAGGCTTCATCATGCTCCATCAGAATTTCTTTATCAAATCTATAACTTCATTGATAATTCTCCGAAAATCAAATATGAAGAACATCTTAAATATTACAACCACAGGGTCATACTTTAACATCGTTGGAAGAAACTCAATTACGAAGTCCAAATTAGTCCCTTTATTCATACTTTCTGCATCCATTGTTATAAGGAAAGGAGGAAATTCTTGATATGCTATTTCAAGTTTCGCCAAAAACTCTGGACTCTTGATATTGGTCCCTCCATATGCCAGTAAATCCATATTTTTAGCTCGTTGTGAAGTTGAGAATCCAGTGTTTGTGAAAGCAGGAGGATTATGACCAGTGATATCAAATCTTAAATCAACTGAGGGAATGAGAAGTGAATTATAACAAATTTTAGACACCTCTCTTTTTGCCATGTATTGTTCAACCTAACGGCTTGTGATATCTGGAGAAGGAAACCCTTTCAGGTTCGCGTGATGGTTACGAATCTTCTGTATTTAAACATCTTAATTCTATGAATCTTCACTGGAACTTAATTCTATTATATTGAGGGCAGTGGTCCTCATTTTCTGTCTTATCGGCAAATTTAGTAAGCTCAATTCTTACAGTGGCGTGGATAGTTTTAGCTACATATGACAATGCTTTCTGCACTGTTTAATCATCAACTGTACTTTCTATTACAACCGCATCTTAAACGAACGAAAAATCCACGTTGGCAAATCGATCAAGGAGAAGTCATACGACAATCATCAATCAATAATTCAACCAAGCCTCTGGTTTCCGGCGAATGAACATAAGGCATGCTACTCAAATCATCCTTGCTGCATATCGCTTTCTTTTGTGATAGCTGCTGAGTGTTGATTCGCCGGGAACCGATTTAACAGGTGTTTTGCACCTTCACAGTTAGTTTTCAATATAATATAGCTTGCAAAACGAATGCTGACTTAAACCAATCTAACATATTTCTATTAAACAAATCATTGTGACTAGTTCTTTGTATTCGCACAGCAGCAAGTCGCCTTCGTTAAACATAATTTTTGGAACTTAGGGTTAAGTTAGCGTGTTTTAAAAGGAATTCGGAGTAGAAGAAAGTGCTCGTTCTGTGCTCTAACTAGAACTTATTCATTTCATCAGCATATCCAAACAGCTAAGCTTTGTGGCTTATGTTTATATGAAAATGAAAGGAATTCGAAACCATAACAATTATGGATATGGATTCTCAGGAACGTAGCCGGCTGCCACCAACGGTCAACTGAGGTGAATACATAGTTAAGCTTTCAGTCGTAGGCTGGTTCATCTTTGTTTTTTTTTTCGCTCTTGTAAACCTTGCTAAGTTTATAGTCAATACGCTTGTCTGACTCTTCACTGCCGCCTACTTGCGATGTACAGTTTAGTACATTTTTTTTGTGCCAAAAGACGGCGCCTTTTATTAAAAAAAAACATTTCCCAGGACACAAACAAACTCTCTAAAATGGCTCATTTTGGAGTGTTTAATTTTGTTCCGCTGGATTGCATTCCTGGAGATTTTGTCTAATATTAAATTCTCTTTAATGCATGGGTGTCCCTCTCAATCCTGGCCTGCACCCATCGGAGATTATCACATAGGTAATAATTCACGAGGAGCGCGAGAATCCATGCTTTAAGCACTGTTTAATCATCAACTGTACTTTCTATTACAACCGCATGTTAAACGAACGAAAAATCCACGTTGGCAAATCGATCAAGGAGAAGTCATACGACAATCATCAATCAAGATTTTTTTTTTTTTTTTTTTACTAGTAAAATTTGTTTTATTCAGAAAGTTAAAAAATAATTACAGTACAATCATTCAAACTTCGTTTTCCAAAGCAAATTCTAATGCGGTTACGTCGACATTGCATAATAAAGGTGACATATTTTACGAACAATTTGAGTAATTTACATTTTTTGTTTGTGTCTCTCTACACTTTTCACTGAATGTTTATTTTGCCTTTTCACCTGCACTCGTTCTTTTATTCTGCGTAATTGTTCACGCCACTGTTCTTCCATGATTAATGATTTTCACTATCGTCATTCGCTTAATCCTTTTATTCGTATGTTAATTGTTCTTTGTGTGGCATTATAATATTTTCACACCACCATGGAGGGAAAAATCGTTCACGAATCTTCCATTTGCCGTAGCTCAGTGACTTTTCACTTCACGATGTCACTTTTTCGTCCGCTATCATTACTAACTTTAATCAGGTTCTATCCGAAGATTGCAGTTTTTTCACATTTAACGGTCGCCATTTACCGTTCTTTTGACGGGTTTAATTAACGAGTACCAACGCGCGCACAACTTAGCATGGAACGAACATGGACTTTCTCTTACGTGCGAAATGCCTGGCTGGAGATTTCCAGCCGGGTCGCAGAGAATACACTTGATTTATTGAGAATGTCGAAATGCCGAGATGGGTAGTCCCATTCGGATCGAGCTCAAAAATCAGAATCACTGTTTATTGAACATGCTTATCCTTTTATACAAATTTGGTTACATTGGTTTATGTGTGGTAGAGTAAGATATCTATGGTTTAGAGTGAGACGACTGGAGTGACATATAATTTGTCCAAAATTGCTCATCCTAGAATAATCGATAAGTTTACATGTACTTTACTTAAGCGCTTGGCGTTGTCATCCGAAACCTTTCCTGCTGCGCGAACGACCTCGGACCACACCGGTAGGGTGGAGAGAGACGAGAGCGCGCTGAAAGTCCAGTATCGAGTGGCTACACATATGGCTCGTTTAGAATTGCATAATTGCATTCTTTTTACCCGGGCGTTGCCTTTGCTGTCCGGGGGTGAATGAATATTTACTGTTTTGGTTGTTTAGTTATGTCAGGGAATGGAGTATCATATTTGTTTATTTGTATTTTACTGCAATAGGGAATGGTATACCACACCGGGAACCGATTTAATAGGTGTTTTGCGCCTCCACAGTTAGTTTTGAAAGCAAAAGCTGACCTTAAGATATTTCTATTAAACAAGTCATAGCGACTACTTCACTGTTTATGTACTCTAATTTGAGTGACAGTATGTCTAGTATTAAAGTCGGGGCTCTTTCTTTGGAAATATTTCCCGAGTACAAACGCGAAGGTTTGAACTGGCCGTCACGGCGATATAGTTAAAGGACTTAATTGAACCTTACCGTAATATGAGAAGTTCGGAGCTTGTTTTTTTAGACAATTTCAAACGCGTGTGCACTAGAAATTACCTTAATTTCCATACAATGAGATAAGGCTGGGAAGGGACTAGCACCATTCTACGTTGTGGCCTATCTTCCACTTTCCGGGAGACTTATTTGATTGAAGCAAATTCAAGGGGCTTCCAAAAGAGTCTTTTCCTTGGATGAAATTCCCTTGCAACTCAAATAACTAAAAGAGAAGTTGATTTCCACTTCGACTAAAGACGAGGAACGGCCTAGTACCAAACTGTGTTGAGGTCTATGTTTCTATTTCCGAGAGTCTTAAGTAAAAGAGAGATATTTGAGGATAATTTTCGAAGTGTCCACATGACTTCGACGTAGTAATAATCGTTCTGTTTTTGTCCATAACCTATGGCCGTTGATCTGCATATTTATTTTCTATAAAGTCGATGAACTTGCTCAATAATCGGCATGGTTTGCTAATTTGACGATTATTATATTTTATTTTTGAATTTACTGTTAGATCAATATCGCGTTCGTAACAGCATGGGAGTTCCTCTAAATTCGGGCTTGCATCCCACATAATTCGCAAGGAGCGTGAAAATCCCTGTTTTTTAATCATCAACTGTACTTTCTATTACAATCGCATCCTAAACGAACGAACGTTTAAATAGATCTTTTTCGATCTGATTAACGTTAAGCGGTTTTTGCTTGTGCCGGAAAAAAACAACCTATTTCGAGGCGTCTGGGTATGCCTTATAGCGGGGGCAGTTTTTGTTTTCTTGGCGGGTTTAGGCGGAGTAGGGGGAGACGGTTTTGGTGGTTGATGAGGTTTTCTGCCGCTCCCGCATCCGACTCGTTTCCGACATTTTCGAGGTCTTTATAGGACAGAACTATGATTAATAAAATTATTTCACTTGAGTTTGTTTAATCTTTAACATTAACATAAGGTTCTGTTTCGTTTTAAATGTTACTCACTGAATCTGATGAAGTCCTCATCGTGGCTAAACCGTCCGTATAGCAATGGTGATTTCTAGCGAGTATGTCCTTTTCCCACTGTTTGTTTTACCAGTCCGGTTTGTGATATAGCGAGATGTTCTCAGCAAGCATTCCATTCCT